TTTTGATGTGGGAGTGAGACAATATTTTTAGGTCCTCCCATGCTGTCAGTAAATTTGCAGGATTACGAAATCCACGAGAAATAATTTTCAGATTAAATAGGGATACTCAGTACATCAGCCTTCTGAGAGATGCTGTTACATGCTTTACAAAGAACTGAGAATGTGGTTTTGACTAAATGTTTTCACTCCATGCCACAAATATGTGTGCAGTTTTGTATTTGGGTTCTTCTGCGAATACATCTTACAAAATTAGCCTCAAACCAAATAATAAAAGGCAACTTGTCCCTTCTGCTGCATTAGTATTTCCTAGACTATTTAGTTATTGAGCAAATGATATTCAGTTATAGCCTAGAAAGCAATTGCTTGGGGTTTTTTGGGTGTGTGTGTGTGTGTGTGTGTGTGTGTGTGTGTAGTTTCCAGACTTCATTCATGAGGCAAAAAGACACAAAGCCAGCAGAGAGGGTTTCGCAGAGTTCCTGCACTTGTTAGCCTTTGTATCTGTGGGTATCCTGCAGGCGGAACTCATGTGCTCTCATACACAGAGGGAAAAGACTCGGGGAGTCAAACAATACCAGGTCTAATTCATGAACTCTGCTCGGGGGCAGGGGTGATCACAGGGTGTGCTTATTATTCTATCGTTTATTAAGCTATAATTTCCACAGGGTAAGATGGAACAATTTTGGGTGCAGAGTTCTCTGAATTTTGACAAACTTAGACAGTGATGTAACCATCACAGCAATTAAAATTATATCACATAAAAAATTCCCTGTGCCCCTTACAGCCAATGCTTTCCCTGACCCCCCAGCCCCTGGCACCTAATCTCATTCCTGTTTCCATTGCTTTGCCTTTTTTGGAATGTCATATATATGGAATCATACAATATACAACCATTCGTGCCTGCCTTTGTTCACTTCAGATGCTTTTGACACTCATCCGTGTTGTTGCGTGTATTATTTTTTATTCCTTCTTATTGCTGAATACTATTCCATTTATAAACATACACAATTGGTTTATCCAGGCACAAGTTGAGGAATGTTTTTTAGAGGTTGTTTCCAGTGTGGGGTGATCATAAGTAAGCTGCTATAAAAATTTGTTTATAAGTTTTTCAGCAGACATCGTCTTCATTTCTCTTAGATGAATATCTGGGAGTGGATGCCTGGGTTGTGTGATAAATGTCTATTGAACTTTATAAGAGACATCCAAACTTCTTTCCACAGTATGGTTGTACCGTTCCCACCAGCAATGCATGATAGTCCCAGTTACTCTGAATTCTCTTTAGTACTAGATGTCACTTTCCTTGACTTGAGCCATTTTAATAATAATCTATTAACTTTTGGATCTCTGGAAGCTATGTGTACTGGGCTGAATAGTATCCTTCCAAAGTACATATTCACCTGGACCCCAGAATGTCATCTTATGTGGAATTATGATCTTTGCATATGCAATTAAATTTACATGAGGTGGTACTGGATTAAAGGGGCTTTAATTCCCATGACTTGTGTCCTTATAAGAAGGCCTGGAAGACACAGAGACAGGCAGAGGAGAACACTACGTGAGGAGGGTGGACAAATTAATGAATACCAGTCTCCCCAGAAGTTGGAAGGGGCAAGTGAGAACTCTTCCCTGGAGTCTCTGGAGCAAGCACAGCCTTGAGTACATCTCAATTTCAGACTTCTGGCCTCCACAACTGTGAGAAAATAAATTTCTGTCATTGAATGCCACCCTGTTTGTGGCAGTTTGTTAGGACAGTTCTAGAAAACTAGCACATTATGGATACAATTTACATCATGGCAATAAAACAAAGAAGTTTTAAGATTATATTTGATTCACAAAAGGCTTTCTAAGGATAAAAACATGAAATTACTTGCATAAAATTAATTCGAATTAGTACAAATATATCATTAGACACCTGAATTGCTAATATGCATAGAAATTCTTAGACTGAGTTTTTGGCTATCCTACAATTCAATTCTTTACTCATTGGGCTGAAATTCTGCTAATGAGTCAAATTAGTAAAGATCTGTTGTTTTATGAATTAAGATCAATTCAGAGTCAGAATCTTAGTGGTTCCTACCTATAGCTATTAAATATCTGAGACTCAACATTTTGTAGAAAGTTCCATAAAAGATTAAGAGATGAACTTTGTTTTAGTCTTTTGTGGTATAATGTGCTGGAATGCAACCCTAAAGATTTTTTTAAAATATTGGAATAATGTATTCATTTTATTCCTATCAGGGAGTCTAGTTCTAAAGACAAGACTTCTGTTGTTGAGTTATTTGGGACTATTTCACAAAGAACAGGTAATATTTCAGTTTTAGCACAAGGCTCTTCCAGCTCCTGAGGAAGAAAATTATCCGGCCCTCAAATGCCTTCTTTACTTCCCCACCCTACCCCAAAACCCTTGAAAGAAAGAAGTTGATTCTTCTGTTACTCCATTTTTCAGAAACCTATGAGAAGCTCCTTATGATTCCACTACTTCAACAATATAGAATAAAGGAACAGTTACAATCAATAACAATAACAGGTTGTGGCTTGCACTACAATAACTTGCTGAGTGCCTAGATAGAAATTGAGGCAACAGGCAAGGCAAGAGGTAAGTAAAGTTCAGATGTGTAAGCAGGAATCCCGGGTTTTTATCCCAGTTTTTAAACCAGATTCTTTTCCTCATTCACAACATGCGTTATGTAACAATCCTACCAGCTGAACAATAGATGTCACTATATGGAGAGATCTGGAGTCATCTGGCACTTGGTAAGCCTTTCCTGAGCACGGTGTGTTGCACGCTCTGGTTAACAGCTCTATGGTGTCTATTTCACAGGGATAGCTGGTATAATCATGGCGCCCATAAAAAGTTTGCAATGCAAGGCAGATGTCATTTGAACAGAGTCTGACAACGTTCAGTGACCCATATAAAAAGCCCATTTTCACTCCTTCTGCTCTTTGATAAGCATAAACTGTTCTTTGAGTGTTTGGGGAGAACACAGGGTTGGCTTATTTTGGGGGGACAAAGACTTATAAGATTGGACCACCCTGTTCCAAGTTTGGGCAATTTCAAGGGACAGAGCTTTGGAAACTCTGAACAATCTGTTCAACTTTATTGTCTTTGGGTCCGGCTAAACATAGAAACCAGCCTCCCTCTTAATCCCCATCCCACATGTTGAGAACTATAAACTCAAGTTACCACAAATACAAGGCCATGGCAGAATGCCCAGATGCCCTTCGGGATGGTGTGACCCAATTAGGAGGTTGTGATGGTTGGGGTTGTGACTGTCCCTCTACTAGAGGCTGACAGGGAAAAACTATGACCCCAAATATTTGCCTTGTTTAATTAAATATCAGCAGGAATGTTTAATCACTTTACAGCTTCACTAACCCAGACAAAGATGTGAGCATCAAGCAAGAGCCGAAGGCACTGCTGCAGATATGCTCCCAGTTCTACCAGTGAATGAGATGTTAAAACTTAAATTGCAGCAATCAAGCAGATATTCTTGCCCACTGCAATCAGAATTAGAATTCTATCTATGTCAGAATTAGGGCTGGGAATTGTGGAGATGGACAAATTCTTTCAGAGAAGCCCAATGTCACTGCTATAATTTATGGTAAAGACAGCTGGGATCATATTGGCAAACTATACACCTGCCCTCATTGCCTCAGGCATAATGCTACTATGGATTATTTTAAAAATTGAAAAATTAATCTTCCACAGTACAGGAAAAGAAGGACAGCCGCTAACAAGCCAGAAGTACTTGAAGATTTCCTGAAAGAGAAATCGGGCCTGAAATGGGTAGCTTTCATGACTATTTGTAAACAACAGTAGAGCAGTGTGGGGTCCAGATGTAAGCTGTTCAGCCTCTCTGTCTGTGCAAATTAACCTAATCCTGAGTCTGGCTTGGTTTAAATTGTGCAGATTTAGGTGCCATGCTAGGCACCTGAGAGAAGATAGTGAAGATACCTTAGAGACCTCGACTGCAAAAACCTGAACAAATGTAGGGGCGTCCACCTTGACTAGATTAATAAATCCTTTCAAAGGTACATCAGATAACACTGATGAATGAAGAAAACGAATGAAAGAGAAATTCATCGTCCCATGGACATCCTCAGGGGTTCCAGTGTTCCTCGGAGTAAAGCTCACGGTGTGGCCATCACCATATGTAGTAAGGGGTAAGGGTAGGGGCCCTGAGACAAGAGATCAGAGAATACAAGTAGCTTTTTTAAAAACCATGTCAGAGCAAGAGAACCATTGGGGTGGCATTTTATCATCTCGGAGTAAAGCTCACGGTGTGGCCATCACCATATGTAGTAAGGGGTAAGGGTAGGGGCCCTGAGACAAGAGATCAGAGAATACAAGTAGCTTTTTTAAAAACCGTGTCAGAGCAAGAGAACCATTGGGGTGGCATTTTATCATCTCTCAGCATCACTGAGTACAGCAGTTCTGCCGTTTGAGAGAGGCACATGGTAGAAAGGTTTTGTGTTGACCAGACAGTGAGAGGCCCCCGTGAAGTACCAATAGACTATCCCAGCGGCCTCTGCACCGGTCTGGCCTCCCAGCCGGGTCTAGCCGAGCCCTCTGTGCCGGCGAGTTCCTGCCGCAGCCTCCTCCGAACCCAGGCGGCGCCCACCCCGCTCCGCTGACTGACAGGCGGTCCAGCCAATCCGCGGAGCCTGACCTTCGCCCGGCAACCGGCAGAGGAGGCGATCCCTGGGAGCCAATGGGAACCAAGAGGCGGGGCGAACGGCGGGAGGCGGCGTGGTCAGGTGCTCCGGCCCAGGTCGCGTGCAGGTGCGCTGGTGCGAGTCCTGGGTCGCTGCTCGCTCCCTCCCCTCCCCGCGGTTAGCTCCGGCCTGCGGAGGGGAGCCTCCTCCAGGCCTCCGACCCATTGCCCCAGACCGATGCCGACTGACCTAATCGTTGAGAGGGTAAGAGTCCAAGGGGGTGGGCGCCTTGCCTCCTGGGGACTCGCAAGGGGCACTTCTGGGCCTCCAGAGCTATCCGCCCTCCTTGCCACTGCAAGTCTAAAGAGCCCATGGAGGCATCACCTGACCTCGGTGGTGGAGAGGTCTGGGAAGTAGGAACGTCCCCTGCCCTGCGACCCTTCCAGTGGCTAGGATAGACTTCTGGCAGAGAAGATGTGGCCTGACGCCTGCCCGCTCACAAACCTACCCTTTTACCCTCTTCTTCCCTTTAATTGGCTCCACTTTCCTCCAGATTTCCTAAGCTGAGGAAGAAGGACTGGAGGGGAGGAAGAACTGGAAGCCGCCAGAGAAATCTGAACCCAGATCCAGGGATTCCACTGCTTTGTCCAGTATTTTGTGCATGGAAAAGAAAAAAAAGTGATTTCTTTCATCTCCGTTCCCCCCACCTCTCTGTTCATTGCTTTGTGTCAACTGTGTGATAAATGTTGATTCTTTTCTCCAAACATTCCTCAGCTTTAGACAGCACTTAATCTTTGCTTTCTTTGTTGGTCTCAGAAAAACAGTTCTCTCCTGCTTTTCATATTTGCTGAATAGGTGAAAATCGGGTGTTTCATATAGTTGATTTTCTCTCTTTGTAGCCTTAAGTTATATTCGGTTGAGACTAGCCTTCTTTGTGTTAGGAAGGCAGAGGTTAAGGAAAGAGAAGGAGGAACCACCATCCTCAGGTAGATATTTGGTAAATATATTTGCAGGTCCCTATTTGCAATTCCCTATTGTATTGCAACTATTTTTAATGTTCTTTCCAACATCGGAAAAATTATCGCCATTTTAAAAATAGTTTAAATTTCATTTTTGAACCATTGTCTTAAAGTCTGAGTACATAAAATGATATGTCTGAGTACATAAAACGATTTCAGTTTAAGTCAGTAATATCTAGGTCTGGTGAAATCACCATTAAAAAACAAAACAATTATTGTCCTCAGCTGGTACACATAGTTTATACATAGTTTGTGCCCCCCAAAGCAAAGCAAACATGCCAATATATTTACCTATGCCTATAGGACAACAAGGCAAAGCAGAACCTATTTTTGAGTTTTAAAAATGTCTTTAGCATTTTCAAATTAGGAACATGTCAGAAGTTGAATTTAAGAGATTTCTTTGCACAAAGTATGGTTAGATGCCAGTTTTGGTGGGCTCAATTTACCTTCATGCAGTTATACACAGGAAAAGGAGAAAACAGAAGGTATCTAAGCCTGATGAGAACTGACAAAATTTACATATCTTTTGTTTACTTGTACTGCCTCTTATTAGCGTTCTTGAATATAATAAAAACTTTTTAGAAATATATGTAGATTTTTTAAAACCAAACAACCTTGGTCCAAAGTGATTTAATCCTGGGAAGTGCTTTTTCTGCAAATATCACTTATTAATTGTTGACTAATTTTTTTTTGCAGTTTTTGGCAGGGGTCGGGTTTGAACCTGCCACCTCCTGTATATGGGACTGGTGCCCTACTCCTTTGAGCCACAGGCACCACCCTTGTTGACTAATTTTGACATTAAAAAAGTCAACATCAAATTTCAGAATGATGTTTCTACTTCTGCTTAGTTTAGAATCTAATTCTTTAGTTTAAGGAAGGCTATACTTTGATTATTAATAAAGGAATGCAGATTACCTTTCATAAATATGCTTTAATGTCATCTGTTTTATTTCACTTTAAAAAATCAGATTTGTCTCCTCTCTCTACTAATACTTGTAACCTTGATAGCAAACATAGGAGTTGGCTTTGAGTATATGTAGACTATATTAATATATTTTCAAAAGCAAGATCACTGGATTTGCTAATGATACTTCATTGTTGCTAAGTTCCTACTATTGGCCTAGCCATAATGATAAATGTGTTCAAAGGCATTTGACTATTGTAAATTTCTGATTAAGAAGTCTAGGTCAACCTGAAAATGCTTCTGAAATGTTGTGTATAAATTATATCACATTTTAAAATGCTGTTGGGGAACTCACTTAAATAATTCCTCTGAGGAACATTTGGATAAATTCTTGGAAAGTTTTAGAAATGAAACTAAACTTCATAGCTTTATTATGCATGTAGCCCCAAGTCTCTTTTCCTAAATGGAATTATACAACATCATTCTTTCAGGCTGTGATTTATGATACAACTGGGATTCCTAAGCATCAACACTCTGAGTTTGGGGTAAGGTATACAAAATAAAATTATTGCCATTAACTTCTATATGTTTATTCTACAGGTATCGTACACTGAACTGATCCAGTGCTTTGAAAATGACTTCGAAATGTCCTTTGGTGTCCTTCATACTCGCTGCACTAACTCTTTCAACTACATTTTCTCTCCAACCAGACCAGCAAAAGGTTCTACTAGTTTCATTTGATGGATTCCGTTGGGATTACTTATATAGAGTTCCAACACCCAATTTTCATTATGTTATGAAGTACGGTGTTCATGTAAAGCAAGTTACTAACATTTTTATTACGAAGACCTACCCTAACCATTATACTTTGGTTACTGGCCTCTTTGCAGAGAATCATGGGATTGTTGCAAATGACATGTTTGACCCTATTCTGAACAAATCTTTCTCTTTGGATCACATGAATATTTATGATTCTGACTTTTGGGAAGAAGCAACTCCAATATGGATCACAAATCAGAGAGAGGGACATACTAGTGGTGCAGCCATGTGGCCGGGAGCAGATGTAGAAATACATGAGACCTTTCCTACTCACTACATGCCTTACAATGAGTCCGTTTCATTTGAAGACAGAGTTGCCAAAATTATTGAATGGTTTACATCAAAGGAGCCCGTAAATCTTGGTCTTCTCTACTGGGAAGACCCTGATGATATGGGCCACCATTTAGGACCTGACAGTCCTCTCATGGGGCCTGTTATTTCAGATATTGACAACAAGTTAGGATATCTCATACAAATGCTGGAAAAGGCCAAGTTGTGGAATGTTGTGAACCTAATCATCACAAGTGATCATGGAATGACCCAGTGTTCTGAGGAAAGGGTGATAGAACTTGACCACTATCTGGATAAAGACCACTATACCCTGGTTGACCAATCTCCAGTGGCAGCCATCTTGCCTAAAGAAGGTAAGTCTGACTTAAGTGGTGATCTGAGGCCAGATCTGTATCTGCCTGGTGTAATTAGGTGAATAGGGATTTCCATTTCTGTGCCTTTTTAGTGAACTTGCCTGTGTCATGGTAATAGTCTGGAATTTAATCTTTAGACTCTGAAAAGAAAAAGTCTCTTAAGAGACTAATTTTTTGCTAGAATATTGAAATTGATGTTCTATATATGTGGTAGTAGGTATTAACCATTTTGGGAGTCCTAAAATATGAAAGCTATAGCTTCCCTTCTCAGAAAAAATGAGATGCACAGTTGCATACAAATATGAATAACAGTGCACATGGAATCCCTAAAGCCTTCTATAGACCCTTAATTAGGACCTGCTTACTTAGGAAGCAGTGGCATATAAGAAGGAGAAAGTTTTGCTTAATCTCAGATTTATTTTCCTTATTTATAAGTAGGGAAAGTAATAATAATATCTTGCACTTTTTACAAACTTCTAGAATTCTCATACCAAACCTGTCACCTGGGCGTTATCTCCGTGACCATGGAGGTAGGTACGACAAAAGGTTTAACATCCCCAGGTCACAAAGTAAGTGGCAGAACGGGACTCAGGCCTGCTCTTCTGACTTACATTTTATCTCCTCTGGGTTTTAGGTTATCAGATGAGAGAAGAGAGTTTGAAAAGCAGGACTATCTCACAACTTAGAGTTCTGTCCTTCAGAGGGAAATTAAGAGAATCGTAGGAAGCAGTAATGTTAAAATAAGCATGTGCACCTACACAGTTTTCAACCAATAGCTAGTTTTTTCATGTTGCTTAAGAAAATTACATTAGCCCTTTAATTTCTCTTATAAAATTGGAACAGTATTCTCTTGGGATGTGGGAGGCAGGGTTGAAGCCTCATGAATGGACTTGAAAAACAAGAAATAAAAGACCATGCCCAGGGTTGCTGCAATTGCAGTTAGGAAGAAAACCTTCGTAACGTCCAGTATTTGGAGGACTTTTCTATTTCCCAGACTGCTTTTCACCTGCAGCCTATCTTTTCCCAGCTCCCTCTCTACTGCCCATGTTTTCTTGCTAGAGAGTCTCTGTCTCTGCACTCATAACCAGGAGAACCTAGCTCTTTGTTTTTGTTGAAGTAGTTTAGTACCCTGGACATGTTATTTAGTGCTAACGAATATGTGTGTATAGATGTATTAAAGTCTTTAAATTAGAGACCAGAGATTTCTAGTTCTGTAGTGTCCTCTCTGAATTCTATAAGGTGAATTTAATTATGACAGAAGATTAATCGTTTTTAGTTTCCCCTCCCTAGATTCCTTCCCCCCAAGAGGAGGGAGTTCTAATCTGCGAATTCGGTTTTGTTGGGCTTGCTGTCTTTCTACCTCAGCAGGGAGTCTGTTGGCCCCTGCTCCTTTGATTGTAGTCTTGAGTTCTTGTTCTAAGTCCGCCTCCTACCTTCTCTTTAGGCAAATTTGATGAAGTCTACGAAGCCCTAGTTCATGCTCATCCTAATCTTACTGTTTACAAAAAAGAAGAGATTCCAGAAAGATGGCATTACAAATACAACAGTCGAATCCAACCTATCCTAGCAGTGGCTGATGAAGGGTGGTATATTTTGCAGAATAAGTCGGAAGACTTTTTGTGTAAGTATGTGACAGTATTTCTTCCCATTCTGCTTCGTTTTTCATGTTTCACTAAAGTGGAGCTATGGATAGTGCAGCGGTTTATTTACTAATGTTTTTATTCTCTACTTCTTGAATGTTGAAGGGACCACATAGTGTCAATGCTTACCTATATCGAAATGCTTTTTTAGCCATTGATCCTTGATATATATGAGAGACATACTAAAGTGTCCCTTTAGGTAGAATCGGGTTCCTTTCATATGTATGTTCTAAATGAAAAGCAGTTGCCTGACAATGGCATCTGCAGTGTGTTCACTACTCCCAGCACCAGATGTGTATCAAAACATGGTTTCCCATTCTTAAGACAGGTTTGACATACTGATAGTAATCTAAAAAAACTATCTTTAATCATGCCAGGGAAACTTTTAGGAAGCCCTTTTAAAAATAATTTCCTTGGCCATGAGAACAATCTCCACCTTTATAAATTCAGATTTTCATGTGTTGTAGCTCGTATTTTAAAGAGATTGCTCAAAAAAGGACTGCTATTTTTGAGATTTTTATAGTTATCATAAATTTAAGGGGTTCTCTAGAAGTTTTGGTTTAGTGAACTACAATGACACAATAAATTGGTCACCTCTATTTTTGATAGAAAACATTTAAAGCTCCGATTTTATGTTATGTTCATTGATTGAACAAATAATTGGTTATTGTCCACTGAAGTCCTTCTCAGCCAGAGTTCCACAAGATAATTAAGCCTTAATGTCCAAAAGCAGTGAATCTCAAAGTACGTTCTCTGGCCCAGCAGCATTGAGATCAGCTGAGAATTTGTTAGAAATACAGATACTTGGGCCCAACCCAGACCTTCTGAATTAGAAACTGTGAGGGTCAAGCCTAGCAGTCCGTGTTTTTACCTGGCCACAGGAGTCTCACACACACCAAAATCTGAGAATGCCTGTCTTTAGCCATCCATTATTAAATACTATCTATTAAATCAAGCATTTATGGTAGGGGCTGTCATTACAAAACAAAGTCCCTATTCCTGGGAAAGATTTTATATTAGTCATAATTATTTAATTTTAAATCTGATTTTTCTAATAAATGTGACATGAGAGAATTATCTTTGCCTTTCTTGACTAGGACTCTAAATAAAGCAACTATCCAATCAATTACAAATTATATAATGGCATATAATTTGTGAGATAGTTATTGACTCATTAAGTCCAGCATTATTTTTACTTAAATAAATTCAGAGAAGCATGGCATTTAGAATGACTTCTGTAGATCAATTTTGCCAGGAAAAATTTCAAATTTGAGATGACTAGAGGGTTAGTTCATGACTTCCAGAGAAATCAATCACGGGACTTTTGGGGGGGAGAAGGCTGTTTAGTGTTCCCATTCCGTATTTCCCAGTAGCAGTCATAGGGAGTAGAGATTGACTTACTAGTCATTCCTCTGTCCACCTTCATTTTGTAAATGAAAGACATTTTTTAATCGATACACATTAGATGTACATATCCGGGGGGAAAGTGATATTTTGATACAGTCATAATATGTAAAGATCAAATCCCCATCACTTTAAATAATCATCATGATGGTAACAAAACCTATTAGTTTTCTTAGGTTGCTATCTTAACGGCAGCAGCTCCTTTGCCTTGTGTCTTGGTATTGTGTAGGCTTTGAAATGTGGCTTTTGTTTTTAATTTTGCATCACTTGATAAATATGTCAGAAGATTACTGAAGTTTTTACTTTGTTTATAGCCACAGTAAAGTACATACAATGCTAAGCTTGATCCTGATCTGCGCCATCAAAGTCAAGGTGTTCTTCCCTTATATACAAGTATTGACCTTTGTTTTTTAGTAGTGTGTTGTAGCTGTAACTGGAGATTAGGTTTTTGTGGTTACTTTAGTTTTTTCTTCTTTTATTGGTAATGAGGAGTTTATTGTCTTCATGACTGAGACTAAGAGCATCTCTATTCCTTTAATCATCAGAACAATAATTGGAACATAGTAGGTACTGCATTTGCTGAAAATTAGTTTGATTGAATAGCGGATTGAATATGAGTTCAGCCAATGCACTACCTACTATGTTCCAATTATCTAGCTTACTTGGCTCAGCTTTGCTCTCTATTCTTCTTTCTCTGCTGCGTAAGGTAGTGTTGGCCTGGGAGAAGGATTTGTGATCATTTGACTTTTCATTTCCTAAAGTGAACTGTGATGTTGACAACAGCAGAGATTATTTGTAAAAGATTATTTATTTTTATAGTCAAATTAGATGAAGTTTGCATTTAAGTTCAGAACTTGACTGTACAGTTATTTCCATTGTAATGCCATCTGGTTGGCTAACTTATTCATGCATTTTCTCTATGCAGTAGGCAACCACGGTTATGATAATGCATTAGCAGAAATGCATCCAATATTTTTAGCCCACGGTCCTGCCTTCAGAAAGAATTTCACAAAAGAAGCCATGAACTCCACAGATCTGTACCCACTGCTGTGCCACCTCCTCAATATCACCGCCATGCCACACAATGGATCGCTCAGGAATGTCCAGGATCTGCTCAGTTCAGCACCTCCAGGGCCAATTCCTTACACACAGAGTACTACGCTCCTCCTTGGGAGTGTCGAACCAGAATATGAGCAAGAGGAGTCATACCCATATTTCATAGGGGTCTCTCTTGGCAGCATTATAGTGATTGTATTTTCTGTAATTTTCATTAAACATTTAATTCACAGCCAAATACCTGCCTTACAAGATATGCAGGGGGAAATATCTCAACCATTATTGCAAGCCTAATACTAGTCTGAAGTGGAATTGTGTATTGAAGTGGAGATTGCATAGTTCTGTCAGTGTTTAAAGATTTCAAGTTCTAAAAATCTGGTTGTAGGCATTTGCAGAAACATCAAGGAATTATATATATATATATATTTAGGTCACAGTCACACACACACAGATGGGCCAAAATACTCTTACCTGCAAGGGATTAAAAATGTGAGAATATGTCTCCATTGTTCTCTTTAGTTTAGGGTTAGGTAAAATCCTGCCTTATTTGGACTTGGCACATATAATGTACATATTCAGCAACTTTGCACTATTTAAAGTACCTTGTACAATTGCACTTTAAATTACTCTCCTAATGAGTACTTCTATTTGAAATGCACTTTATGGACAATTATGTCTTAGAGCTTACCTGAAAACAGCTTTTTACACCTGTATCACAAAATACTACTTATTCACTGTTCAAACTGGATGAAATTTCTAGTGATTCCTGAATAATGTAGAAACCTATTTCCTTAAATTAGGAGAACAACTAGAAAGTGGCAACTGTTGAAAATTAAATGTGATAAACTTTATACCTTTAGTTTTGGAGAGAGGTTTTCCCTATGGCAGACTGCATCTGTGGGCATTTCTTGTCATATGTCTTTCCCCAAACATGTGTTTTCCTTTATTTTTCCCCCCACAAAGAGATCCAAATACTGACAGGTTCATTGTCATAAAATTAATTATTGCTATTTCCTGATTAGTCATATTACTTTGGCTTTTATAATAATGAAGACACCATGAATATACATTTAATACACATTTCTTTCTTAGGTAGGTCAGCAATGGCCTGAACATAAGAGACCAGGCACCATCTCAGCAATGTTTTTTCTTGTCTATGATTATTTTGCTTCTTTGAAAACTAAATCATTATTAATAGCATTAAAAATCAAATTAGATAAAACAGTTTTTTTTTTTTCTTTTTGCCAGCATGTAGTAATAAACCACAATCTTTTAGATTTGCACATTTGGAGATCCAGAGTTAGAAAATAGCACAAATCATATTTGGTAAAATATAGGCCACTTAATTTTTGAAAAGAGCTGAGGGAAAAAATTTGAGAAGACCACATGTGAGATGTTCACACTCTTTACCCAGAACAATGGTAATGAGAGCTTACTGGCAAAAATTAGCAAAATAGGTTTTAGTGGTAACAAGTATTAAAACAGAGGAACTGAGATATGTAGCCCTATTTCAAGACATCCTTGACTATCCACCTGCAAGGTGCTCAGTGGAATCAAAGATGGATCCAAGTCCATAAACAGACTTCTAGCACTGGGTAGTATTTTTCACCAGCCTTGTCATGTCATCCCCCTTCTTTCTAAGCTGTGCTTTAGATTTCAAAATAGTTAGGTTTGGGAGAACCGTGGGGTTACATAGGGTTTCTTAGAGAAAAGAGGAAATCTTAAAACAGGCATGTGGCTAATGAGTAGACAGAATAGTCTAACTACTTCAGAAAGAAAGGACAAATTGGATGTGAAGAACAAAAGTGGCAGAGTTAAAAATATAACTGAATTTAAGTCCTTGTAAAATTAGGTGAATAAATTATTTTTAAAGTGATAATACTAAAGGAATATTAGCACCTAATTCTCATTTTATTATAAAACCTCTTAAGAGGATATAATTGAACAATAGGAACTGGCCTACAGATTTTAAAAGCTGAACATTTAAATGGTAAAAGGAACAAACTCCCCAGAAGTTTAATATTCTGGGTTAGACATGCCAGGATACTTGCTTGAGCACTCATGTTAGCTTGCTCTGTAGCTATAACTTCCCTGCATTGTTGAGATGTCATTATAATGACTGGACCGGAAGATGAAATTAGTCCATTGTAAAACATTACTGTTCCAATCTGTCCATCTAAATGATTTGTTGCATTAAAATCATT